AAATCTGAGTGAAAACAAAACAAACAGCACCACCCTGTGAATAAAGCCAGACATTACAGTTGATCCATTAACTGAATCTTTAAATGGAAGGAAGGGATAAAAATATGTTTAATTAAAGCCTGAAATAACAAAGAACGGTCGTGTGTTTAATATCTTGGATTCAGACTATTTAGGCTATTTACTTAATTTATTTGTCTCACAGTTTGGAGTAGGAGCAGAGCAAATGTGTACCTGAGCAGCAGCTGTTTAATGGAGGACAGGGTTTCAGGGAGAACGTTGCAAAATCTTAACTGAAAATGAGGAAGCAATGTTCTAAGTCTGTCAGAACCAGCTCTTCATGAAAATCCTGTTCCAAGGACAACAGTCACTCCAAAATTGTTGTAGCAATGTATGTGGAAATTTTTTTAAGTCTCTTCAGAAATGTTAGTTTCCACTTCCCTTAATTGTAATTTATTTATTTATTTATTTTTCTGTAAGTGGTACAAAAAGTTTGTCGACTGATTCTGAATTGTGTCTTGGTCAACTCTAGATGTTGTAGTCATCAAACTGTCATTTGAATTTTTCCTTTACTTTTGTCTCTTTCATAGTGGACAGTGGGAATTTGGTTTTCTGTTTTCTTTTACATAAAAGAAGAAAAATGTGGAAGCTTGTTGTGCTAGATCCCCTCTTATAAGCTCCGTCTTTTGCATTTTTAGATAATTTTCATACAAACTTCATCCCTGTTTGGTTGTTGTTCCTCTGTTTGAAGCAGAAAGTCGATACATTAAATACAATTCAAATGATTATATACTAAAATATTAATATTGTATAGAAAATCATCTATAAACACAATAAATAGTTAAATAACCAATTAAACCACTAGTTCCCAAGTTGTGGGATCACTGTTATTCAGTCATCCATGTTCGAGCGTTTCCGGCCAACTTCGGCTTATTCCGGCGGTTGTTCGTTAGCGGAACCATAGCTGTCTGGTTTGTGTTGCCCGGACTTTTTCAGCATTGCACTACTGATGTAACGTTCATTTCCTGATCGGTAAGGGGTCACTCACATGAGAATCCAGTTTCCGAAGCTGAAACTTCTCCCTACAGTCATTTTTGCGATATTAAAATGATGTTACGAACGCTGTGTCGGACCGGCGGAGCCATTTTGCAGGTAAACTAAAAATGTCCAGCCGGTTGGCCCGTTCCATCCTGCCATAGTTTGTTTTCTGTCATTGGTGAAGTGGGTGTCATTCAGTGTGAATTCGTGTGTTAATAATCCGCGAGTATCACTTTTCGTCCTGGTAGAAATATCACTGAGAACAAGCTAACAAGAGAGAAGGTCTTTTTAGCTATTTACTCTGAGTAGAAAATATGCTAGTGGTTGTTAGCATGCTAAACACGTGTTAAACACAAAATAAAACGCATTTCTTAAACATAACGAAAGATACAACAAGAGCAACAGGGACATATTCAGCCTGAACAAAAAGCAGAAGAATGATAGTGAGTTTTTTTATTCCACAGAGGAGCGGTTTAATTGTAAAGACTACTTTGTTTTGTTACCTGCTTCACATGACTTAAAAAACATTTTTATTGTGTTTTTTTGTATGTCTTAAAAACTTGGAGGTGGAAAATGAAATCTGTGAGAATAGGAACAAACTTATTGCCATTCCCAAAGCCCCTCAAGCTTTACAAGTTGGTCCCAGTTGGTTGATGGGAACTGAGAAATCAATACTCATCCAGCTAAAAGTTGGTGCAATTCTAAACTGCTTCCAGATTCGTCTTTCCAAAAGAGCAACTGCCTCATAGACCACAAGGTTTATTTCCTTTCTAGATCTGCTCTGCTTACTGTAAAATTTCTCAGCCACAAGCAAAGCACAACAAATGTTCTGCTGTTGGCAGCCGGAGTGAACACAATAGTCTTCATGCACTCCCAGCATCTGGATTATTCTTTTATCTTTGATGGCAATGTCACCACAACAGGAAAATATCTAGTGTTAGCTGGGATAGGCTCCAGCCCCCCCGTGACCCTAATGAGGATTAAGCGGTGTATAGCTAATGGATGGATGGACATTTTATAGCCAATGTTACCTTTAGCTGGAGGTCAGCGCTCTGTGAAATGATGGAAACTTTGATTTGAAATCAGCAAACATGGACTAGGTGGGTTTTTATGTTGCAGTTCTACTTCCGTACATCCTAAGCTGAGCTGGTGTCCGCACCTGTTTGCTTCTCTACTGCTTTCTGTGCTCACATAAGCTGTACTTTAAACAGCCCCGTTCCCAACAAAGCTGCTCTCATTCACATATTTTTTGTTTCTGTTGTCAGACAATGGAACGAGATGACATAGTGACTAAAACGCAGTGCATTAAGACTACATGTTAACCCGCAGTCACTTTACAGCCATTTTCAAGCTGCTGCTCTTCACTTCTAACTGGGATACAGCGAGGGGGCCATTGCTAACTGTCTTGGAATCAGCAAAATATCTGTCCATTGTATCTTTTAAAAGAAAATGCAGCTTCACCAAGAATCACAAAGGAAAAGGCTGAAAACAGTAGTCTAATAAATAAATTAAAATTATCCTAGTTAATTGAAGCTTGACTTAAAAAAAAAAAAATCATTTGCAAATCTAATTGCAGTTGCAATGCCAGTCAGAAAAATCCTAATTAAATATTTTCCTTAAATACATCTGCCCTTATACATAAGTTACATAATCTTTGCCCCCAGAACTTGAGGTTGAAAAGCATGCTTATAGATTTTCAAAAGATGAAATTCATTCATCAAGGTAAAGTTCCACAATCTGTGATCAATTTGTGAAGAATTCTCTACCAGCTTGGTGCAGTGATACCATCTGTTTACTGATCAGATTTTTTCTGTTGTGTCTCTGTAGCACACCCAGCGGTCTGTTCCGAGGTTGTGGGTCACACCAGCCCAGCAGCGATGGGCGTCCAGCCTGCCCATGAACACTGTGGTCCTGTTTGTACCCCAACAGGAAGCCTGGGTGGTGGAGAGGATGGGTCGCTTCCACCGGATCTTAGAGCCGGTATCAGCTTCTGATTTTAATAAATCCCCCATAAAACAAAAGCACAGCAAAAATAACCGCACACTTAGCTAAGAATCATGCAGCCTTGTACAACAGACCTACAATAAACCTCACAAAGATTAAAATGTTCATTTATGTCGAAACAGTTTGGGTTGCAAGGTGATGCAGTTGGTTAGCACTGTCGCCTCGCAGCAAGAAGGTCGTCAGTTCGTGTCTCGGTGGGGGCACCGGGATCTTTCTGTGTGGAGTTTGCATGTTCTCCCCATGCAGCCTGGATTCTCTCCGGGTTCTCCGGCTTCCTCCCACAAGTCCAAAAACATGTTGAGGTTAATTGGTGATTCTAAATTGTCCGTAGCTGTGAATGTGAATGTGCTTGGTTGTCTGTCTCTAAGTGTAGCCCTGCAATAGACTGGTGACCTGTCCAGGGTGTCCCCTGCCTTCACCCTAAGTCAGCTGGGATAGGCTCCAGCCCCCCCACGACCCTAATGAGGATTAAGTGGTGTATAGATAATGGATGGATGGGTTAAACTGTTGCATTTCATAGCCTACTTACTTATCCTATGTTCAGTGTGTAATGACACATTTATTTCACCAATTTCAGTCTATGTTGTTTGAGCAGTGTTCTCAGATAATGTATTGGCACCATTAAAACAAACCTCAAACTCTCAAACTTCAACACTCCCTAACAATTTTCCTCTCTTGCTACCTCTAGGGTTTAAACTTCCTCATACCCATACTTGACAGAATTCGCTATGTGCAAAGTCTCAAAGAAATTGTGATTGATGTCCCAGAGCAGTCTGCAGTGTCTCTAGGTAGGTGATGCATTGTATATTATTCATTAGTCACTAGAGGATGAGCATGAAGACAATTCTTTCGCACATCAATCTTTTTTTTTTGATAGATGTATCAGCTCAGCCTGAGTGATGCAATTTAATGAAAAATGTGATCTAATTTCCGTGGCTGTTCTTCGACTTCCCTTGATTTTTACAGATAATGTAACGCTACAGATTGATGGAGTGCTTTACTTGAGGATCCTAGACCCTTTTAAGGTATGCTGTCAAAAAAAAAAAGGAAAGTCTGGAATGATTGTCTGCTTCATTATGTTGTTACGCTTTGATCAAAGTCACATAAAAAAAAATCTCTTCCATGACTTGGCTTTGTTTTTAGGCCAGCTACGGTGTTGAGGATCCAGAATATGCAGTCACACAGCTGGCACAGACCACCATGCGTTCAGAACTGGGCAAACTCACACTGGACAAAGTGTTCCGGGTAATGACTGTTTTATCTCACATTTGTCTGTATTAATGAAAGGAAATGTTGCATTAATGTATGCATTTACTTCCAAGGAACGAGAGTCCCTCAACTCCAACATCGTCCACTCCATCAACCAAGCTTCAGACGAGTGGGGAATCCGTTGTCTCCGTTATGAAATAAAAGATATACACGTTCCACCTCGCGTTAAAGAATCCATGCAGATGCAGGTAAGACAAATACAATGGTATTTTTGTATCAGTGCGGATGGCCCAAGAGATCTTGTAGTTTTAAACTGTAGGAACATGACCAAAGACACTCTTTAATTCAACACTTGGTGAAACTCTGGCCAAGCTTGAGATGCATTAATCGCAGAAAAGGTTTTAACACTGACATTTTATTCACTGTGGAGGTGGAGGCAGAACGTAGAAAGAGAGCCACAGTGCTGGAGTCTGAAGGGACGAGGGAAGCAGCCATTAATGTCGCAGAGGGTCGTAAACAAGCTCAGATCCTGGCCTCGGAGGGTGAAAAAGCAGAGCGGATCAATAATGCGGCTGGTAGGTACATTTAGAGACCCAGTTTAGCCGTTTTATCTCTGAGGTATTTATCCAGCTTCTGTGCTTGGAGGGATGGCTCTGGTGTTTTAAGTTGCAGTTTATATGGTGGAAATACTGAATTTATCGATATATTCCAGATGATTATACATCATTAATGGATTACTGTTTTCCCTCCAGGTGAGGCCCAAGCGGTCTTAGCCAAAGCTGAGGCCAAGGCCAAGGCCATTCGTCTGCTGTCAGACGCTCTGACTGAACAAGTAAATATGTTTTTCTGGGATATCCATGATTGCAGTCTGACTTAAAAAGAGATTTTTTTGGTTAATTGTGATTTTCTGTATGTGTGTCATACAGAATGGAAACGCAGCAGCTTCCCTAAGTGTGGCCGAGCAGTACGTATCTGCCTTCTCCAACCTTGCCAAAGAGTCCAACACCATCCTTCTGCCCTCAAATACTGGTGACATTAGCGGAATGGTCTCACAGGTATGTATGCATACGTCCTTGTGTGTATTGTTTGTGTTCAGAGCAGGGTTGTTGGAGGTGTGATCAAAAAGTTTAGAAACTGTGATGTCCAAATGCGTATCTACTAGTGATCATTAGGGCTGGACCCGAATAGCCGAATAGCCGCTGTGTTGGCTGTGTATCAAACTTGACCTCCGAATATCCCCGCCGGCGCAGAAACACGGAGCTGTCACCGCTAATCATTAATTGGGACTGAATGTCCGGAGATCAGAAATTGCTATTCAGACCAGCCCTTGTGGTCATAAAAACAAATGTAGCTGCTCCACTTTTTGATCACCCCTTGAATATGCTATCAGCCTATAGCTTCAGCACATGTAAATGTGACATTGATGGTTCTCATCTTGTTTTCCTTCCACTCAGGCTATGACCATTTACAGTACACTGGCAAAGACGAGCCCGAAAATACCAGCAGTAGGGGTGGAGGAGAAGAGCGAGGAGCTCCTGAGCATCTCTGCATCACCTCAAGAGCAGAGGACTCAGTGAAGGGACTCACAATATTTAACAGCACCGAAGAAGAAGCGGTTTATGTTTAAGTCATCAGGGTTCCGAGGCATCGCTGTGTCTGCAGAGTTCACAAACCTTCTACTGACAAGACAAAAGGAAAAACTGCCAACTCTATGAACTCCTATGCTGTCTTACTTTGGTGCCAGAGAGCAAATCACATCTTTTGTAAGGATTTGTAGTCTTCACTGACTATTGTCTATGTTATGTCTAAATTGGGAAATTAACACCAGCCTCCAGCCAAATATACCAGTGACTTTGGCAGGCTGACACGGAGGTCAGCCCAGACATGGATGCAAAAAGAAGCCCTGAATGTTTTGCAGTATGTGATAAAATCCATTGTTCCTGAGCACTTTCTTCTGTGCAGATATTTATAACTGCATAAGCCCTCTATCGGAAATTTAAGTAAAACATGCAGTTTTGTTTATTGCCCCCCCCCTGTTTTCCAGGGCCAGCCCAGAAATGTATATTCAGGTTTAGTGGGTAATCAGATTAGCTCAGGTGAGCCATCTGATTTGATTTGGCTTATTTATACTAAGTTCATTCACTAACTTTAGCAGTGGGACCAGCAACTTTGACTTGCTGCTTGGGATGTCTGGCTGGGTGCCTCAGGATGGTGGAAAGTTTCCTGAAATGTAGCTCATTCACAATTAGGCCCATATTATGTTCAAACATTATTGTCCTGAAAAGGCAAATTTACTTTAGAAATTGTTTTGAGAATATGAAAGAGATAATAAAAAAGTTAAGAATATGGTAGTGTACAGAGTCACTCAAATGTTCCTCTCCTCTGCATATTTACATCTAATGTCTTATGGGGTGTATTTATTAAATTTAATGGTTCTCCAGAAAGCAACTTTGTCATTTAGTAAGTTTTGCTGATGCTCACAGGTTGATAAAAAATTCTAAATGAACATGAAAGTGACACATTTGACCATGTGTCACTGAAGACTCTCAGGAAGTAAAGATACCTCAAAAGGTTTGTGAGGTGATGGAAGAAAGGAATCTAACAGTATGATTCAAAAGATGGATGTTTAAGATGTGTTTGGAGTCACTGGAAAGAAAATACATGAAGTAGTGCTGTGTCCGTAAGTGCATTTCAGTAATTTGATATGGTAAAAGATCATGCCATAAATATGTTATGGAGCAACACAGTGCGAGTATTCAGAAACATTTGATTTCTTAGATTTTCCATGTACAAGTTCACCAAATGTAGTTCTAACATCAAAACAGTATAACAGAGATTGATTGATTGATTGATTTTTATTTAACACAATATAACTGCTTTAGATTTTTATTTTTTATTTTTACGTAGGGGCTGCAAGGTGGCGCAGTTCATTAGCATCTTTGCCTCGCAGCAAGAAGGTCGCCAGTTCGCGTCCCGGTGAGGACACCCGGAATCTTTCTGCGTGGAGTTTGCATGTTCTCCCCGTGCAGCCTGGATTCTCTCCGGATTCTTCGGCTTCCTCCCACACAGTCCAAAAATGAGGTTGAGGTTAATTGGTGATTCTAAATTGTCCGTAGGTGTGAATGTGAGTGTGCTTGGTTGTCTGTAAGTGTAGCCCTGTGATGACTGACGACCTGTCCAGGGTGTCCCCTGCCTTCGCCCTGAGTCAACTGGGATAGACTTCAGCCCCCCGCGACCCTAGTGAAGATTAAGTGGTGTGTAGATAACAGATGGATGGTTTTTTACGTAGTTAAGATCACATTTTATTTTATTTTTTTAAAGTACTTGGTTCCTACAAATGCAGAGTAAAACGTCTCTGCTCTGTTGTATGGCTAATGGAGCCCTCACCTTTGCCTGACAGGCGTGACGAGATACTGCATGTATTTGACGTTATTTTTGGATTTGTATGTTATTGCATGTTCCACAAATTAAACATTTTACTATCACAGATTTAGACATAACTATAACTTTATTTTATTTATTTTTTTCATTTGAAACGAGGTTTTGTGACAAACATATGGTCATGATTAATGGTTATTTCGCATCCAGTCCTTTTCCAGAACTTCTTTGAATTTTTTTCCTAAAATAGACAGATATAATTCGGGATTGTTCGGTAAATTTTACAGAAGTAAATATTTCCACTGTCACGTTCAGCGTAGAAACAGCAAGATGCACCTGACAGCTTACGCTCAGGACATACAACAGCACTGTTTAGTGGTGTTACACAGAAAAGCGTCCGCCGCGCTTTTCCGCCGGGCTCCCCTCCACGCTGAAGTTCCTATCTGTCACCAGCCATCTAATCTCATTGTACCGGAGTCCCAATGAAGGTGAGCGTGTCGCCGCGTTCTCTGTTTACCTGAGACACCTGCACCGCCGTGTTGTGAGCACACACAACCCGCCCTCCAACCGAGAGAGGACGAAAGCCCGGCTGCTACAAGGTCAGTGACAAAATCGAGGCGAGCTAGCCGCTGCTAACAGCGTTAACTTACCAACCTCCTCTTGTCGTTAGCTACCTGTTCGTCTCCAACACCGCGTGTTGTGTTTATTAATTTACTGGAAGTTTCTGTCAAGTTACCTGCTTTGATATCTCTTACAGCGGGTGTCGCTCATAAACAGTAATTTCTGTGTGTCTGAGTTTCACCTGTCTTGCTGTCACCTGTGCCCCCGCAGGATGAAAGGGCTGCCCGTGCTGTCCCTGCTCCTCTGGATGTGCGCCGTGTACTTCGTGGGCATCTACCTGTTCGTGGGTGGCTTCCTGCTGGTGAGGCTGGAGGTGAACCGGACCAGCACCTGCGGGGACGTGCTGCAGCCCGGGCAGGAGCCGGTGGACTTCTGCCGCGCCCAGCCTCGCTTCCGCCGGGTTGTGCTACTCATCATCGACGCCCTGAAGATCGACTTCGCCCGGTTTGACCCCAACAACACGGCGCCGCGACCTTACGAGAACAAGCTACCTGTGCTTGAGGAGAAGGTCGCCTCCAGGCCTTTCCAGAGCCGACTGTACTCTTTCCGCGCCGACCCTCCTACCACCACCATGCAGAGGATCAAGGGCTTCACGACCGGATCCCTGCCGACCTTTGTGGATGTGGGGAATAACTTTGCATCTAGTGCCATTTTGGAGGACAATCTGATCCACCAGCTTGGGAGAGAGGGTGAGTTGTTACACACATACATCTATGATATGCAATGCACTGCAAGTCACTATCATGGATCAAATCATTTAAGAAGCAAATAAGGCATGAGTACCCTTCAAAATGGGCATTCAGATAACTTTATTATGTATTATATTGTCTATGTTTGTGTCTAGACACATTGATGACATTAGAACAGATGCGTCCATCAGCAGACAAAGTTAAAACATCAGCTGTGACGTTAGTTATTGGAGAAATGTTCAAGTGCCAGTACAATATAAACTGTTCTGTATTCTGGCTAAACTGCCCTGGGTTTGAAATGTGTGTAAGGAAGCAAGAATACAGCTTCACTGTCATATGAAAATCTATCATACATGTTCCAGTGTATTGATATTTTATCACAATCAGTCAGACATTTTGCAATGCTTAAACTTCAACATTGCAATATATGAGGCAGGACAGTGGTTAAAAAGTTTTGGAATTGGATCATGCCTGGAAAAGCATGCACAGTATTTATTTATTTATTTATTTTTTGGAAATCTGTTAAAACCAGTGATCTAGAGACCTACATGGGTGACAAAGGCATGCTTTTTTCCTGCTCAAATCAAGCTTCGTAACACCACGTGTGCAGCTTTACGCTTTAAAGTGAAAACATGTTTCAATGAACAAATGGTGCCGTCTGATTTTGTTCACGTTTAATGTCTGGATCCCTTCACAGGCAAACGGGTGGTGTTTATGGGCGATGACACCTGGGAGAATCTTTTTCCCAAGAAGTTCCACCGCTCTCTGCCCTTCCCTTCTTTCAATGTGAAAGATTTGCACACTGTGGATAACGGGATCCTGCAGCACCTCTACAACACTAGTATGTATTTACTTAATATGTATTTGAGCTGCAAAGAGCTTACGTTTTAGCTATAGGCAGAGCAATGCAAGATTTTTGAGGCTGAGACAGATGCATACTTTTAGAGAGCAGAAAATTGCAATATCAGTGGAATTGAAGAGGACAAACTGAATTATGCTGTCTGAAAACCAAAAAAACAAACTTTCTCTTTGGTGTATATTTGATAATATATGCGCAGACATTAATTGATCTGTGATTGGCTGATGTCAGGAAATAATATTGGCCTCCTCAATATATTAATCAGGCTCTGAGTTTAACATATTTTATGTACTAGCTCCCAGCTCCTAGCAGTATGGTGGTTAATGAGCTCTGCAGTACTGTTTTTTGTTCTTTTTTAAGCAATGTTTTATTGAATTTTCCTACAAAGAATGTAAGACAAACACAGATGAAAGCAGATAAATAGATGACATGACTTTAAAGCAAGAAAAGGAGTGGTAGCAGGTCTGAGAAAAGGTTCCTTCAACTTATCGAACACTCAGGCTCACATGCACAGAACTTTAAAGGTATATTCACGCCACTGGTTGAGAAACAATATGGAGAAACACATCATCTTGCCAGTAAAAGAAGCTTGCTCAGTCATTTTTGTGGATTTCCATCTTACACGTAGAATTTGTATGATGTTATCTTCATTAAAAAGTAGTGCAGTGTTAGCTTAACTTGTGGCAGACAATAACACTGATTTGAATAAAAGTATTTTAAGATTGTACATATTTTTATATATTGAACACTGTGGTCATACGTGCACTTGTGCTTCATATCTCTCCACGTGTCTCTTGCTGCTGGTTTTAACAGTGACAGGTAATGACTGGGATGTCCTGGTTGCTCATTTCCTCGGGGTGGATCACTGTGGTCACAGGTTTGGCCCCGACCACCCGGCCATGGCTGACAAGCTCACACAGATGGATGGAGTCATCAGGTCAGATACACAGTGCAGCTGCTACATGCTTGTTTCACAGCATTTCCCAGCTGAAGTCATCATCGGGTGCTGTCATGGTTCACCTGTAGTGCTGTACATGTGTCATGTCACTTACGAACACTGATGGTGTTCGTGAGCTGCTGACCGGGACACTCAATGAAATGATCCAGAAAAAAATTTTGTCTTTAAAATGTTAACCCGAGGTCATAGGTAAATTTTATGGACAAAAATAGGTTGAAAGCCAAATTGCTATTTGTTTTATCCCCAATCCACATTCACCCTTTTCCTCCAGGTCTGTGATTGACCGTCTGCAGAATGACACCCTCTTGGTGGTGATGGGAGATCATGGGATGACTGACACTGGAGATCATGGTGGAGAAAGTCAGAAAGAGACCGACGCTGCTATCTTCCTCTACAGCCCTTCCCCTGTCTTTGCTGGACCCCCGTCACAGGTGGGTAGAGTAGCTGCTATTTTTTGTCAGTTTTGATTGAAGCATGTCAGTGAGATGAATTCCTATTTAGCAAAAAATCCAGCTTTTAACCTTGTTAACGTTTCCATATAGTGTTTTTTTTTATATGCTGGAAGACGCATCATGAGGGAAACAAGCAGTTAGCGAAATGGCTGAGTATTTCCACCTTGTGTGTATCGATAACACAGGTTCAGAAAGCCACAGCTTCACACATCACAAACACAGGGCTAGCCTCATACTTTCCACATTTGTGTGAAAGTCTGCTGGGGTCCATGTGGACTAGAAATGCTTCCATGGTGTCTGCAGCTGTATATGTGTAGGGCTTTTTGTATCAATATTGTTTATCTCTAGAACTGATTTCTGGTTCAATCCTGTATAGATTAATTACTCTTACATTACAATTTGGCTTTTTGTAGCGCAGAGAAGTTTCACAGTGTTTGCACAGGAAGGGATTATCTTCATTTTTTTTAAATACATGTTATTTCCCTTGCAATTTTTAATTTGCACTTTGCTTTGTAATGTTCCCAAGTATGTGAAAGTTGTAACATTTTTGTACAAAAAATACAATACAAGAAATAACTACATAAGTTTAGGTTAAAAAAATGTTTAGTTAAATGATCGTTCATGTGAACTGCTTAGGTGTGTATTTAACATATTTAATTTAATATGTCATGGTCTGTAAGGTCTTAATGGAGACTCTGTTGAGTGTTAAAACCAACAGTATACACATAGAAGTGATGAGAATGAGCAGGAATAGGCACAGCTGTCTACTGTAAATGTCAGTCAAATGCTTTATGCACATTTACAGATCAGACACTGTGTAGACGTTCATGCTGACCAGTAGGAAGAAACACTTGGCTTGTAGACCTTTCCAAAAAGCTAAACATACTGTTGAACAACTGCATCAGTTCAGTCCACACACGAGCTATAGAGGACGAACAAAACTGAAGATTTTTCTTCCTCCGTGTGTTTGCCTTCATTTTTTTCAGCAAATGCTCGTTTACATCATGTCGATCTCTCAAAAGCACCAGAACGGTTTCTGTATTATAAATGTGAAACATCAAACCACTGATGCGTGCACATTTCTCTTCATGGTTGGCTGTGCAGTTCCCCGAATCCATTAAATTGATGTTGGCAGGTGGTCCCCGCCTTTTCTAGGGATAAAACGGATCCCACACTAGAAAAGTGAACTCCGCCGCTGATTTCCATAATTGCAGTGTAATTGGAGAGTTATATAATACACTGTGAAAAATCATGAGTTACAAGAGAGAAATACTGCTACTATAATGAGAGTGGAAATTAGTCGACGGGATGATACACCGTGTTACTCAGCAGACACGTAAATTGAGGTTTTTGTCAAGTGTTTTGGCCAAAAAAAGTAATCTTCTAAAATGTCAATGCAGAAGTTTAGGTCACAGAAACATGCGAGAGGAATCTAACGTCTTTTTGGTTGACCCCACGTTTGCAGAACGAACCAGACGTGGTGCCGCAGACTGACCTGGTACCAACCCTGGCTCTGCTACTGGGAATTCCCATCCCATACAGCAGCGTGGGGCAGGTTCTGTTGCCTTTATTCCCTCCACATGGGCAGACAGAAGGTGCAGTGAGAGGTCTCAGCCAGCTGGAGGCACTGTGGATCAACGCAAAACAGGTAGTCTGCTCAGCTAGGAGCCGTTAAGACAGTTTTTGAAAAATGTTTCACACATCCTGGAGCATGTTCAGTAATTGTGTGTTTGTTTTTCTCCCTGTGTATTCAATTTCACCTCTGTTCCTGAAGGTCAACCGTTTCCTGGAGACTTACTCTGGCATGGCCAAAGACATCCCACCAGAGAGCCTCTTCCAGCTGAAGGATGAATTTGCCCGCCTCTCCGCCGAGTACCTCAGCACGGTTGGAGAGGGTCGGTCACCCGCCCCGCAGCTGGCCTCGTCTCTGCAGGCCTACCTCACCTCTGTCAGGGACACCTGCCGAGCCACATGGGCCCAATTCAACCCACTTAAGATGGCAGCAGGTTTAGCCATCCTGGCGTTTGCATGCCTGATGTGTTTTATCCTGTCTGAACTGTCCCTGGTGCTGGTCAGGGAGAATAACGCTGGGCTGAAGGCCCCGGTGGTTGTGGCGCTAACGGCAAGTGTCGGTGTGGCTGCTGCTCAGCTGCTCACACAGGGCTATGTCGAGGTGGTGTGGTGCCTTGCAGCTGGCGCCTTCAGCTCTGAACTTCTCTTCTTCTGGAGGGCTCGTCGACTCAGTAACCCCGCCGTGTCAAAGAACGGAACAAAAGGTCCGAAGAGTGCCAGCTGGCTGACCCCACGTCGCCTCCTCATCCCCCCTCTCTTGGTACCCCTCCTTCGCTGTGCCTCCCTGCTCTCAGACAGCTATGTGATTGCTGAAGGCCGGGTTGTGACCTTTCTGGTCTTCTCTCTGGCCCTCTACATTCCCATCCATCTCAACTGGGATGGCCTGCTTCTGCCTCCGAGCCATGACCCTCTGAAGTCTGCAGGTCTGCTGCCCTCGCCAGCCTTGTCCCCGTCGACTGTGAGGAAAGAAAGCAGCACCCTCCTCACCTGCTTAGGACTCCTTGTTGGCAGCCTCTACCTCTCCCTCTCCTTCCACGGTTGTCGAGAAGAGCAGGGCTCCTGCCAGCCGTCGCCCTTCCTCTCTCCTCTCTCCCGGTTTCAGGACAGCCAGCTCAAGAACATCCACTATGTCCTCTCTGTTGTCTCTCTGGGCTTGTGGACGTATCTACTGAGACGTTGTCTCTGCCACTATGGTAATCTCAACTCCTCAGGTGGGACCGTGTTCACGGCTCGCTGGATCCTGCCACTGCTGTCAGTGTGCCTAGGGCTCCACTGGGCTGTTAGTGCCACTCCAGAAGACAGCTTCAAGAATTTGACTGAGCTGATCCGCCTGGCACAGCTGGCCCTCCCCAGGGCTGCCTTCTGTCTCCTGGGACTTGGGCTGTCCCTGATCTGGCTCGACCCTCTCACTGTGTTTGTGAAGACCAGGGCCGCGGCTTCAGCCAGAAGCTCGTCTCTACCCCCGCCCCGCTACCGGGCGAGCACCGGCATCAGCCCCCAAGCCGAGCTGCACCATCTTATCCCGCAGATCTACCAGCGCATGCGTCGCTCCCTAGATGATGGAGAGCTGAGTGGAGGCAGTGAGGTGGACAACAGGCCCGCTGTGGAGGCCTACGGACTGGGAACTGTCTACTCTGCCCCTGTGCTGTTGTTCTGCGGCCTGCTGGGAATTGGTCTGCTGCTGCTGCACCCAGAGGGCATGGCTCCGTCATTCCTCCTGCTGTTGCTAGAGATGGGAGCTCTGCTGCACATTCACGCCTCCTCCACAATCCTTAGTGGCCTGCATGGAGCTTATTCTGGTGAGAATCACACATCTTCTCCTTCTGAGTCATGACATGTTTTTTTGTGTTTTTTTAAAAACAACTTTTTACTCTGCTTACCCACCTCTCATTGTTACCCTCAGGTGGATTCAATGTGCCCTGGTCTCCAGTAGTGCTGTGGTCTCTGGCTGCCACCCAGTTCTTCCATGCCACAGGCCACCTGCCCACCTTCCCCTCCATCCAGTGGGGTGCTGCCTTTGTGGGATTCCCTGATGGGCACACCGGCACCATACTGCCTGCCTCACTGGTTACCCTCAACACCTTTGCCTCGCACATCTTATTTGCAGGTAGTTTATTTTTCGTACAAGAACAGCAAAAATAAATACTGTTAGTATTTGATCCTTTAAGGAATTGAGGTTGTTGCTTCTGAAAATGAAATAGGATTCAGCTGAGAAATAAAGGTTGTTACAGTACAAACAAGAAATAAAATATGCTGTAAAATGAATAATATATATGAAAATATATATATATATCTCAAGTGGATTTTAGATTAAAAAGACTTTTCAGTTTTCTCAAATACACTAAAATCTGATCACATGTAAGTTGCTAGACCAAAAAAGTCAAGGCACACTGGATGGCACTTACTAAAGCACAATATTAGTAAAACAGAGAATGTGGTTTCTCCTGGAAACTAGTTGGTTTAGAGCGGTAAAGTATGGATGTGTGTGTCCTGGTGACAAGGGTATGTTGCGGAGGTGCTTCTATCTCCGTTTAAGAGTTGTCACTGGGTGTGAATGTTCGGAGAGAGCGAGATTGTCAGATGTGAATGCCTGACTTATAGAATACCTTTTGCGGGGTTTAGGCAGGGAGGACACCTGAAAGGCAACTGAAGCACCATGAAGCTGTAATACCTCCTGATGAACAGTTCGCAGGGTGAGCATTTCAGGCTGCAAGGTGAGGTTCAGGTGTTGAACGGCTTGTGGTAAGATGATGTTTCGTTCTGAGCCGTCATCAAGTACCGCATAAGTCTCCGGTACTTGGTCTTCATTGTAGAGCAAGACTTTCACCACCTTCAACATCACCTTCAACACGCTTCTGAGTTTGCTGGACTGCTTCATGCAGTACCGTCAGATGTTGCTTTTTGCAGGCATTGCAAGGTCGCTTAAGGGTACAAACATCAGGTGTGTGAGATCTGTCACATTTCCAACACCGCTGTCCATCAGTTAGCCACTTCCCAATCTGTCCTGTGTTCAGTTTCTTGAACTCAGTACAAGTGTTCAGAAAATGTTCTTTATTGTCACAGTAAGGACAGTAAGGTTTAGGTTTGGTCGATGACTTAGGTTGTGCAGGCCACCCCTTTGAGCCTTGGCTGTCACTGACAGTGAGGAAAAATGTTGTGGATTTCTCCTTTGGTTTAATGAAAGTACGTTGGTCTTTCTTTATTGACTTGGGAGCTTCCTGGTTGTAGAGGGCTGCAGCTCTGCCTGCTATGCGCTTTGCTTGGGATTCCATCTGTAACCAGGATCCTAAATCGGGCAATGTATAGGTTTGGTCAGTACCTGTGCAAAGGATGCCTTGCTTCAGACAGTGTTCCACAAACCCGTCACGATAACTTGGTGGCATCTTACTCAGTAGTCGGTCGACATGAGATCCACATTTTAATTCGTAGCCGTTCTGTCCCTCCAGCGTCCTAAGCATGCCGACGAGATTGGATGGACAATGCGAAAGCATCAAAGGCTTCAGAGTCTCCAAACTTGAGGGCTGGAGCCTTCAGGATGGCACCCAGTTCACTTTGGACAAGCTGGCGGGGTTGTCCGTACCTATCCTGTAAAGCTTGCATGGCCATAGTGTACGGTCTCGGGTCGTGCATGTAAGCCTTGGCGAGCTGGAGTGCACTCGGTAGTTTCAGGTGACCAAGGAGCACCTGATATTTATAATGCTCGTTCAGGTGCTGATGACTATTTAATACATTGTCAAGGGCCATCTTTAGTAAGGCAAAGTCACTCTCCTTCCCACTGTCAAAGAAGGGGATCATCGGTTTTGGAATGCCGTAGGACGAGGCAATGAATGGATATGTGTCCGTTTTCTTTGGTGGATGTAGGTTAGACTCGGTCGAGGCTGGAGTGGTGCATGACACTGCTTGGATGGGGTAGGTAAAGGCTGTATTGAACTGATGACACTCCATTGGTCGAGCAGGGTTTGGAGTAGGAGGAAATGCCTGATATGGTGTAACAGGTGTAGTAGAGGAATAGTAGTTCACAGGTGCTAGACTAGCAGGCAGAGATACAGAAGGGAGGGCTGTAGGCGGAGCCAATGACCCTGTAGGTGGAGCTGACGTCCCTGTAGGCGGGGCCAACGATGCCGGAGGCGGGGCTGATGTCCCTGTAGGTGGAGCCGACGACACCGGAGGCGGGGCTGACATCCCTGTAGTTGGAGCCGACAACACCGAAGGCGGGGCCGACGTCCCTGTAGGTGGAGCCGACGTCCCTGTAGGTGGAGCCGACGACACTGGAGGCGGGACCGATGTCCCTGTAGGCGGGGCCG